TGAATGGTTGAGGCATCATTCCATGAAAAGAGTTGCTTCCAAGAAGTAAAAGCAATAGACCCTCACTAAAGTTTCCGAGACACTGAGGAAGCGTGCCCCACAAGTTATTTGTCGACAAGTCAAGGTACAGAAGAGAATTCATATTGCAAAGCAATGGTGGAATTTCTCCAGTAAATTTGTTGTTATTGGCTCCATATTCTAGCAAGGATGGTGGAGGGATCGGTAATCGTCCATGAAAAATGTTGTTTGAAAGCCTCAAAGAGAGTAGGGTAACCCAGGCTATGACAGCTGGAAGTTCTCCTGAAAATAAGTTTCCAGAAATGTCCAGGAGTACCAGAGTTTCCTTGCTTAAATTCCACATCCAGTTTGGTACTTCGCCACCGATTTTGTTGCCTGCCAGATCCAACCGCTCCAAATTTGTCTGATTTTGTAGGAAATATGGGAACTCTTTTAAATTGCATGAACTCAAAGACAAAATGGTGAACTGTTGAAGAGCTGCATTCATAATATTGGATCCAGTAACAAATTCAAAGTTGTTCGAACTCAATTGGAGTTGGTAGAGATTTTGTTGCTTCTGAAACATTTGAAACTCCACTACACCGCTCAGGTTATTTGACTGTAGACAAAGGATCTTGAGATTGATGAGATTGGAAAATGAGGCTGGAATTGAACCATTCAAATGATTAAAAGAAAATTGTAGGTCAACTAGTTTGGTAAAGTTACCTAGCCAAGATGGAATTGGACCAGTTAAAGAACTTGTACTAACTCTAAACACAGTCAATTGGGTAAGGTTTGCCAAAGAATCAGGAATTGGACCTCCAAATCGGCTTGCTGAAATGTCTAGGTAAGTGAGCTGTCTAAGATTGCCAAATGCAGATGGAACCAACGAGTTTGAAAAATTGCATTGAGCAACATCCAACTTTTGCAATGAATTAATCTTTTCAATCGAAGGAGGTATGGTTCCGAAAAAACTAGTAAACTCAACTTTCAGTGAGATGAGAGGACTACTTCGATTAAATTCGGGCAAATATCCAGTGAGATCTTGGTTGTATCTCACATTAAGAACTTCTAAGTTTTGTAGACTGAAAATTTTCACTAGGAATTCGCCAAACAGATCACATTTCTTGAGGGCAAGGTGTGTTAAAAATGATAAATTTGTCAAGGAAACGGGTATGATCGATGATATGTTAATGAAACTGAGATCAAGAGTTTCTAGACTAGTTAAATTTTGAACCAGACTACTCATATAGGATGGTTGAAGTTTCAACAATCGCTGAGGATTATCAGGAGATGTTTCAATTTCAAGAATATTGCAACGCAGATTAAGGTATGTCAACTTGGACAAGTGTGAGACTTCAGATGGGACTTGACCAGAAAAGAAAGAGAAAGAGAGGTCAAGATGAGTGAGGCTTGGAAAATTTCTTATGCTAGATGGAATTTGAGAGTAATTGAAGTCATTGGTCTGAGAGGCTTAACCTTTGAAGATGCACCAGGCTGAACAGGCTACTATTGGAGTTGAAAGAGCCATAGAGATAACTGCTATTGAGATTAAGGCCAATAACATGACCTGTCATCTTGTCACACTCGACGCCGTCCCACGAGCAACAACTGCTATTTCATCCTGCAGCTGGTTTCCATGATGAAACCTTTGGATAAGCACCTTTAGAACGTGAAGCATATTTGTCAATAATAAAGCTCTCCTTGAACTGCAGCAAGGCAGAGCTCTCCTCGGCATGGCAAGATAGCTGCTGCAAAGAGTCTACAAAGTTTGCAACCACAATATGAAACAACAACAGAACTAGTAGTTTCGAGAGCATGCGAATCAACAGGTGAATCCTCATAATGTTTTGATATTTTTTGTTTGCACTCTTTGCAAAAGAATCATCTAAGAAACTTAAAGCTATAGAGAGCTATCTATTTATAAATTGGCATGATCAAATGGTTGAGCAATAGAGGCGTAATATGGTTGACCATATTTTGATCAATAAAGAAGTGATTGGAAATAATAATAATAAACTCGAGGCGTAATGTTTTCACACTGCAAATGACTAAAGTCAAGAACACAATCAAGAAGCAAAGAAAAAAATGGTTCTGATAAATTACATATATGCAATTTGTGATATTTTCAATTAAAAAGATCAAGAAACTCCAAGTCAATTTGCGAAATTGATGAGACCAAGTGTCAATTTCCAAAGTAACGTCTTCAAGGGCCCTTATATCAAACATGCACGTCACCATGTGCCCAAGACGACATCTCCTTGGACATAAGTACGATACAAGGCAGCCATTTGGTTTTCGACATCACCTTTCCATTTAATATATACTAACTAGTGTGTTGTTGGTTTCACTTTGTTCTTGTTAAAAAAATAGTAGAAAGAGAAGACACGGACCAAGGTAGAAGAAAGGAACAAGACGAAAAGAACAAAAAAATTAACATGATGCATGCATAACCTCACTGGGAAGTTGCTCGTGAGCTCCCAGAAACAAAACCGTGAGGGCAGAGAGGGGGGCTCAAAGCGGACAATATCGTGCTAGGAGAGTTGGGTCGTGACAATAAGTACGATACAAGGCAGCCATTTGGTTTTCGACATCACCTTTCCATTTAATATATACTAACTAGTGTGTTGTTGGTTTCACTTTGTTCTTGTTAAAAAAATAGTAGAAAGAGAAGACACGGACCAAGGTAGAAGAAAGGAACAAGACGAAAAGAACAAAAAAATTAACATGATGCATGCATAACCTTTGTTTTCATTACCAAACCACTTCCCAAGTCTGCCAAAACAAATAGCAATGGATCTCCACACAATCCTTCGTTTTCATTTCCAACCCTTTTGTTTATTCCAAAGGGATAATATTTATTGACATATATATCGATCAAAAAAGAAGTATTTTAAGACTCCAGATGACTTAAGTCAACAACTCAGATCTCATTAATAAACAAGTGTAAATGCAACCAAATATTCCTTACAGAAAATTCCACAAAGAAGAGCTAGCTTTTGAATTTTTTTTCTTTTTGCTTGAAATTCCACAAAGTTGGTAGAGTTATGCAGGTCACCATGTGCTCTGGACTTCATTTTAGTCTTCATAAACTTGGGATTTTGACAAAACTCAAAATTTCTAAATTGACATGAACTAATTCTTGTGTTTGGACAAAAAAAACATAGAAATTTTGAAATTCCGCGTGGGAAAAAACATGGAATTTGGAGATCATAAATCCCAACTTTAAATTCTATTTAAAAGTCATCATTTCTAAAATTCCAAGAGAGATTGAGTTTTAAAAAAAGATAACTTCACAAATAAAGGTTAAATTCCATGTTTTAAATATGTCACCCAAACAATAAACTTTACTGTAACATCCCGACCCAAAATAAAAGGTATAGTGAATTAATTAATTTCAAGAATTATGAATTTTAAATTTTGCCCTCGAAGTAGGGGTAATTTGGTCATTTTTAATCCGGAAGTATTTCGGGGCAGTGGCTGTTACCTTTACGTAGGTCGTACTGAGACGAGTCCGTAGACATGCGGTAGGCCTGAATCGGAGTTGTAACGAGAGAGATACGATCAAAAATCTCTTAGTAGCACAATCGTAATTATTTCAAAAAGTAATTTTGATTAAAAATCAGAAAAAGCCTCTCATTTCTCTCTCTCTCTCTCTCTCCCCGCGCGCAGCTCCCCCCTCCCTTCGTTTTTTTTCAGAACAGCCGGTGCCTTTGCAAGCCACCACCGTCGCCACGCCGGACCACCGGCCACGAGACCGGTCCCATTCGAACCGCCACCTCCTCCTCCCTCTTCTCCGGCCAGCACAGCCCTTGGAGCCGACGAAACCCGCCGGCAAAACGCAGAAAATTTGCTGGTTTTTGACAGATTTTCCAATCGCTCGTTCTCCCTCAATTCTCCACCGAATCGGACGAATGAGGTATGAAATTTCGACTACTTTTCATGATCTAGCTGCTGGTTGGGTAGGATTGCTTCAATTTTTAGCGTAGCCAAGTCGATTTTCGAATTGAAATTCTGCCGGTGTTGGGATCGCGATTCCGGCCACTTCCGTCGACTTTTTGGGGGTATGTCCAAGAACAAAAGTGACTCCAAATTAGGGGTATTACCTAGGGTAGGAATCTTGGCTCGAGATTCTAAGATTTTCCAGCGATACGATATCGCTCTGGACACCCACGCGCTGCCAGCGCGTGGGAACTGTAGCAGAGGGGCATTATGTCCCAACACGATCTCCTAGTTGTCACGAGCGCGTAGGAATTCGCGGATCTCAATTCGGATAACGTTTGAACCCCGAACGGATTTTACATATCTTGTGTTATCTGGGTTCGATATGTTAAAACCGTTGGATCACTTCCAAATTAATATATATTGATCTAGGTATTCCTAGGATCGTGTAGGATTTCACGGAATGTGAATCGGAGTTCGGGATGTTCTGATTCAATAACTTAAAGTTTGTGTTTTACGATAACCGTCCGATCGTGTGATCGTGAGCGATACGACCGTCCGATCTGAACCAAATTTGTAGGACATGTTTCCTAGACCTTGTGGAACCCATAGGAACTTTCGGATCGTAAAACGGAGGTCGTGGGTCCCACGGTCCTAGTTGACCAAGTTTGGGCAGTTTGACCCTCGGTTGACCGTGAGTCTTCCGAGGTAGTTTCACTCTTCAAGGAGTACTAGAACGACCCTTTTGGACGAGTCTTGACCGTCATTTGATTTATGTGAGTCTATGAGATTATTTTTATGGTTTTGTGATGGAAATCTTATGCTTTTGAATTTAATAGTTTATTTAAATTCGGTTTATATTTAATCGTTGAATTCTTTATTTTTGTAAAGTAGTTGCAATATATGTGGGTTTGATATATTCGAGTGTCTTGAGTTTATATAAATATTTGAGAAAGTACTATCCTTGTTGATTTTGTATGGGGTACTTAGAATGTTAATTTGAGTGTTGTTAGCACTACCTTAGGTACCTCCCTGGTTATGGGTTTTATGTTTGAGAGTTTATTTTGCCCAGGCCCGTCGGAGTTTGTCCAGGTCCTTCGGAGATTTCTTTTGCCCAGGCCCGTCGGAGTTTGTCCAAGCCCTTCGGAGATTTATTTTGGAGATTTATTTTGCCCAGGCCCGTCGGAGTTTGTCCAGGCCCTTCGGAGATTTCTTTTGGAGATTTATTTTGCCCAGGCCCGTCGGAGTTTGTCCAGGCCCTTCAGATGTCTTCTTAATACGATGCCTTGGGAAAAATTGGATTAAGGAAGGGAATATTACTTTATAATATTTATATAAGGATTACGAACTCCACCATCATACGTACCTCCCCCCTTGGATGATGATACTTGGAAACAGTGGTTATGGACACTGGGATACATGGAAATGGATATGGATTTGATATGGTCTGGATATGACGGAACCTAGGGCATCCTTGACGGGATGTCGCTATAGACCCTTGATTGGGTAGTCTGCGCGCGTAGGGCTGTTCCAGGCGTACGAGTCTTGATTCTTCGTTTGTACGTGCTGGGTTAGAGTTAGTCCCCCAGTTGGACGGCTCATCCCTACCCACATGGGCGTTTGAGGCCGGATACTTGTGAGCTAGTCAACAATCCCTTTTTGGATTGTTTCCCCTAATACATGATGTGCATCATCATATGTACCTCCCCTTGGATATTGATATATGGAAATTGTGGATATGGTCTGGATATGACGGAACCCGGGGTATCCTTGACGGGATGTTGCTGTAGACCCTTGATTGGGTAGTCTGCGCGCGTAGGGCTGTTCCAGGCGTACGAGTCTTGATTCTTCGTTTGTACGTGCTGGGTTAGAGTTAGTCCCCCAGTTGGACGGCTCATCCCTACCCACATGGGCGTTTGAGGCCGGATACTTGTGAGCTAGTCAACAATCCCCTGTTGGATTGTTTTCCCCTGGTACATGATGATGGTGAGAGGTGGGTGTTATTATATATACATATATATACTCATTTATAGGCATACATATTACCTATATGTGTATGTGGTCTTGATTTGGGTTAAGATCAGTGAGATTGTGCTTTGTGAGTACTCGGTACATGTATGAATGTTTAAGCCTGGGGTCTCACCAGGTGCAGCCGCAAAATATTATTGTGTTTAAAAGGTTTGAACGATTTCTGTGGTATTTGTAAAGTTGTTTGAGGTCATTAATTACATGGTTTATGTATTAATTGACTTGAGAACATTGTTGGTTCTGTTTCGAACTATTTGAAGGCCGGAGGCCTATTATGTAATTGCATGTTGTTAACTTATGCATGCTGCCAGTTGGTGTTTTAAAATGGGTTTCTGCAGGTTGGAAGATTTTGGGAAAAGTTAAATTTACATGGGTTTCTGCATGCTGCCAGTTGGTGTTTTAAAGTGAGTTATTGCTTCATTATTTGACTCCAAGTCAAGTCGTCCAATTACTCCGTACATAAGGCATTCTGATTCAGATACATGTTATTTGATCTTTGTTATGCATCAAGACTACATATATAGTTTCCATCAGGAGGATCATTATACTAATTAAGTTCCTTATTTTCAAACTTATTTGACTTGAAGTCAAGTCCAATGACCTAATA